GCCCCGAGTAAGGCCCGCGGGCTGCGGGGGAGCCGGGCGGGGCTTTACGGCTAGGAGCCAATCCTCGCTCTGTGTAAAATAAGATACTTTGAATTTTTGCTTTGTAAACATTTAAGTATAGAATGCAAATATATTCAGTGTAAGCACCAGACCCCCCACACACACCCCACCCCACACACGAGCTATCAAGGGGTAAAGGTTCAGGTCAGTTTTATTTTACATTAATACTAATGTCCTCATTTTTCTGCCTTAAGTTGCTTTTAAAAAAAGAAAGAAAATCAAGGTGTCAGTGCTTATTCATTTAATAGGAAAAGCATAAATACTATTTTTAAAGGCATGTCTGTTTTAGGACAATACATTTTTTAATTCCTCTCCTTGACTGGCAGAGTCAAACTAGTGTAATTCAGTGTGAAAATCACTGCCTAGTGTTTTCTTTATAAAAAGCCTTATCAGGCAGCTAATGAGATTGCTCTCACCGTAAATATATGAAAACCATCTAGCACCTTCCATAAAAGAATGGGAATCTAGCGCCATTTAGTGGCGTAATGTGAACAGTGACTCGTTTCTGTCTTCATTCCCTTCTGTACTGGTCAGGAAAAAAACAAGAGACACTGAATTCAACTCCGTGTCCAAAATCAGGAAATCAGATCATTCACTACACCAGTAAAAGCCCGTAAAACAGGCTTTTTTAAAAAATCCTGGATTTCACAGATGAACTTTAGGGAATCGTGAGCCCCCTGATATTTTATCCAAATTTTAAAATATATCCTATGTGTATATGCACATTTTTTCTGGATGCTCATAACTTCCAACAAATTCTCAAAGGCGTTCATAAACCCAAAAGCCTGAGAACCATTTGTTTGGGGGACTTTCTTTACTCCCTGAGAGAAAATGCCAGGTTTAGTAATTCCCATGAAGATATCAAATGGAAAACCCACAAGGGACAAGGACCCCGACGCTCTCCCTTAACAGAAACTGACTACCACGTTCAGCTGAGAAGTAGGGGCGGCCTCTCCTCTCCCAGGAAGTCGGGTGTCACTCCCCAAGCACGGTCCATGAAGCACACTGATTTTTCAATACTGAGCACAAACTGAAGAAGCTTGGGGCCCTTTTTCAAGCTGCGTGAAATCTTGTGTATTTGAGAGGCATTTCCTCACCTGTAAACTGCCCTTGGAGCAGGATTCTGCGGAGAGAGAGACACGACCCTGATTCTGCAGCCAGTAGGCTCCCCTCCTTCCTGTTCTAGGAGAGGAAGGCCACGTGTGCATGCGCCACAGAGTCTAAGGGCATCTGGTAAGCAGGGACCAAAGTTTGCACATTAAAGCTCTTACCCAGCACACTGTGAGCCTTGGCAGTGGTCTGTAGCAACCAGACCGCAGGCTGCCTGCCCCTGGCATGACCTTCCACCCACCACGTATGAAGAGTCAGTTGGCTGATGGAAGTATTTTTAATTTTTCTTAGAGTAAGAAAAATTTTTCTTAGAGTAAGCATTTGCCAAATTTAATTTTTCTTAGAGTAAAAGGCAAATGCTCTAGACTCCTGCTATTATTTGTGCAAATAGCAGGAGTCTAGAGCATTTGCCCTTTTGAAAAAGCATCCCAATGTAGTAGGAAGACTTTAGGTTTTAGAATCTGAATTACTTAGAGTCTGAACCTAGCTCCCACACCTACTAGCTGTATAAACTTGCAAAATGTACGTGACCTTCCAAGCTTCCGTTTTCTCATCCATAAAATAAGAACACCAAATTCATCAGCCTATTTGGATAATCTGATGGGGTTTTTTTAATTTAAAGATTTGTCATAATAATACCTGTCTTTCAAGATTAGAGATTACAGATTCAAGATGAATAATACATAGCAAAAGCTTAAAAAATGAGAGCCACCATTATTAATACCATAATGGGGGCTATAGGTTTATTCACACTGCCTTAGCAATTCATGTTGAAACCTCACTGTAGAAGTTCACAGCCTGCTATTAGTGGAAAGGGCCTTAGCGATCACCCCAATCTACGCCCTCACTGGAGGGTTGAAGGGCCTGAGGCCCAGAGAAAAGCATGGTGGCCCTCTCACCACCGCGCAATGGCAAAGCCAGGGCCAGAGCCCACCCCTCCCAGCTGGAATTCCAGTGGGCTGTTCACACCACCATACCGCCCCTCTGTGTACTGTTTGCCCCTTTCCAAAATGCTCATAGCACCAGGTGATCATCTTTTCTCCTCAAGTACATCTGAACACCATATTAACCTATCTTTCCTTATTTCCAGAGTACAAGCCCAGGTTTGTCCACACTCGGCAGACACGATCCTTGTCCGTTGAATTTGAAGGCGAAGTATATGACATAAACCTGGAAGAAGAAGAACTGCAAGTGCTGCAGCCAAGGAACATTGCCAAGCGTCATGACGAAGGCCACAAGGGGCCGGGAGGTCACCAAGCTACGAGCGGTGGCAATGGGGATACCACGCTGACCACCAGCAGCAATGCTGTGGGCCTGCCCACCACCGTCCGAGTGACCCACAAGTAGGGAGGCTTTGTGTGTTCACGAGGGTTGAGTTCAAAGTCATCCCCACATATTACCACTAGTTGGTCCCTTTACAAAAAGTGATGTCACTCAGCAAAATGATAGCCAAGGGTCAGCCTACAAAACGGGGGGTTAAAGAAGCAATGGGGGGCCCAAACAATTGTAGATTTAGACATGTGCCTTGGGTTCAGTTTCACATTAAGGCTGATCAGCTGGGAATTTAGCCAGAGTGACTCTGTCATATCTTGACTTAGCAGGCACGGAGCTCTGCTGTTAAGCGGTTACCTTTGTAGGCATTTAGGAAACAGCAGGAAACCATTACCAGACTGGTGGTCACTGTGGCTCAGAGCAGTTGCAGTCATAGCCTCAGAAGTGAAACACAGATCAAGGGAGAACTATGGGTCCTGGAGAAGGTCCCAGAGAGACGGCATAGGTGGGGAATGGACGTTAGACGCAGAAACACCTCACCTGTCCAGATCCCGAAGAGCACAGAGGGCCTTGAGAGTCATGGAGACGGGAGCGAGATGGTTCCTCACAGCTTTAATGGACTAGCTTGGTTCTTCATTTCCTTCCAGACAACTTACTCTCTTGACAGAGAAATAATTTCTTTCTGAACTTATTAGCAAACTCTTTGTTTTGTCTTTCATTTCATCACTTTGGGGAGGGGGAATACCATGAGCTCTGCCAAGATGTTTATCTCTGGGACTGGTCCCCAGGTGCCTGTAGTTGCTATAGTTATATACTCAGAGATTTAGACCAGGATTTGTTTCTCTTACGTTATCGATCGACCTCATATCCCACCAGCTCTCTATCCCTGGGGCTGCTTCTCTGCTTCAGACGTAATGGGGTACTTCAGGCAGGCTCTTTGTAACGAATGAATGGGGTTGAATAACTCCCTTCTAACTGCATTTTGTCACACAAGTTATTTCCATTGTAACTGTGAAAACCTCCTTTTTTTCCCTACAATATTTGATGGGGCTTTCAGATCTGGAGTTATTGCTCGTTTTCTTTTCATGGAGACAGGAACATTGAGAGCTGCCTCGAAAGGTGATCTGAGTGGTGATCACTGTCTGACACCATCCTCTGCCCACACCAGTAGTGGGGAGACATCCCCACTTATCCTGGCCTGTGGTTCAGCTCCAAACTATGGCTTGTATCCAAATTAAAGATATAGAGGACAATTAAGTTCCCTTTGCTATTTCTAATGTCTTTCTTAGTGTTAGAATATACACCTGTTTCTAATGTTTCTTGTTTGTTATGCAGGTGCTTTATTCTTCCAAACGATACCATCCATTGTGAGAGAGAGCTGTATCAGTCAGCCAGGGCATGGAAGGACCACAAGGCATACATTGATAAAGAGGTGAGCTGTGCCGTGGGCTTGGGAGGGACATTCCCAGTGCCAGCTTGGCTCGCCAGCCCTACTGGTAGGAAGTACTGTGTGTACACTTCATTGTTTTATAACTATGTGAAAAATGGGATGGCAAGGTGTTTCTCATTCACCAGCGATATAGCGATAGTCCTGACCAAAACCAAAATAGAGTGTGAGGAGAGGATGGGGACTAACTCAATTTCCTTTTGAAATCTCTGTGAAAAAATAATTCAGTTATAAGAGAGACATCTGTTAATGTTTATGATGAGACATCAGTTGGAATATAGAGGGAAATATATTCTATGCTCAATTTGTTCCCAAATTAATTATCGTCTCAGATGAACAGCTGTAATTATGGTGAAAAGAAAGGTACTTAACACAGAAAAATCCTTGAAATGTAATTGTTGAATTACATGTTTTCCAGATTGAAGCTTTGCAAGATAAAATTAAGAATTTAAGGGAAGTGAGAGGGCACTTGAAGAGGAGGAAGCCCGAGGAGTGTGTCTGCAGTAAACAGAGGTGAGCATGGGTCCACCCCATGGCCTCCTTTCCAAACTCATTTTTTGCACAGGCTACATTGATTGGCATTAGGCTTGTTTCTCTCATTTACCAATAGAAAGCTTAATCAAATGAATTCCTTATCATATATTTGTAATGACCTAAATTATTTAGGTCAAATTAAATATGTCACAAACCTAAGCAGACAGTTCAAAACAAAACAAAACATTAAAAAGTCCCATTAAACTAAGATACTTACAACAGAGTGCCTTCTATTTTGCTTTCTTTTTATAAAATAAGCTGTTTGACAAATGCATGATTACAAAGACTTACTTTTTCATCTTCTTGCCTGTAGCTACTACAATAAAGAGAAAGGTGTAAAAAAGCAAGAGAAATTAAAGAGCCATCTCCACCCATTCAAGTAAGTGACTGTGTTTCCCTCCTTTTCGGGTAGTGAAGGACTGTCCAGTAGGCCCTCCTGAAAGGCTGCAGGGACTCCTGTGTTCTAAGTGAGCCTACTTGGAAAGAAGTAGACGCAACTCAAAGGCACATAGCTCCAGAAGGTGAAAGCAAGCCCACACCTTGCCAAGGGAGCATGGTGATGCCATGGCCTCCTCCGGGGGGAGCTGTGCGGAGTTCTGCTCCATTTCTGTGTGTGCTCTTGCTGCTGTGTGCGTGGTACCTGAGTATTATTCCGTGCACAGCTTAGCGTTCTGTGCACGGTGCCTGGGAGATGGCCCCTCTGGATTAGGTTGGGGTGTTCTATAGAGCAGCTAGCCGTCATGGGGAGTTCTGGAAGTTGGAAGAAGTATACATATTTTTAAATAATAGTAAAATTTGCAAGGAAATAGGATTTAGTATTAGAGTCTCAACAAAATTTGAGCCCTTCTGGTAAAACCAAGATAATAAAAAAATGACAATTTTTTTCAAGACTTTATTGTGAAATTTGTCAAAGAACGTTAGAGACCTTCTAATGCAAGCCATCTAATCTGGCCGTTGACTTCATGGCTGACAGGTACTGAGCCACCAAGAAGTGAAGCCATTTATCCAGAGAGGTAGTAGCAGAATCTGCTGATTCACATTGACATTTATCCCTGTCAATGTTTACACGTAAACAAGGAAGCAAATGTTGCTGCTGCTAAGGCTCAGTAGAATTTTGAAAGAGCGGTCTCAGTGAGCTTGTCCTCCTGCTGATTCTGTTTGAGGGCCTCTGTGGAAAATACAGGTCGTCTATTATTGTGTGCCTGTCTATTATCATGTGTCTAAATATTTGTTCAAGGTTCACAGCAATAATCTTATTTTTAACTAAGACGGTGCTTTTTGGCCATTTAAAAAATCCCTCCTAGCCTAACCGGTGTGGCTCAGTGGTTGAGCGTCAACCTATGAACCAGGAGAACCTGGTTCGATTCCCGATCAGGGCTCGGTCCCCAGTAGGGGGCGTGTGGGAGGCAGCCGATCAATGACTGTCTCATCAGTTTCTCTCTCTCTCTCCCTCTTCTTTTCTCTCTCTGAAATCAATTTTTTAAAAATATACCTTTATTGATTTCAGAGAGAGGAAGGGAGAGGGAGAGAGATAGAAACACCAACAATGAGAGAGGCATAGATCAGCCGCCTCCTGCACACCCCACATTGGGGCATATGCCCTGACCGGGACTCGAACCTCCATCTCCTGGATCCTAGGTCGATGCTCAACCGCGGAGCCATGCTGGCCGGGCTGAAATCAATTTTTTTTTAAATATGTAAAAATTAAAAACCCCTTCTACGGGAACAGGGAGGCCGCTCAAGAAGTGGACAGCAAACTGCAGCTCTTCAAGGAGAACCGTAAGAGGAAGAAGGAGAGGAAGGAGAAGAAGCGCCAGAGGAAGGGCGAGGAGTGCAGCCTTCCCGGCCTGACCTGCTTCACGCACGACAACAACCACTGGCAGACGGCCCCCTTCTGGAACCGTAAGCCCCTCGTTCTCTCTGAGTGCCACCTACGCGGCTGCCACCACCCGGACACACAGAGACGCGCCCCGCAGTCACCGAGATGAGGAGCTCGGTGGCATGCGACCAGGACTCACGACTCATCCACGAGGGGAGCGTCCTATTAGTTCCTATACTTGCAACTAGAAACATTTTGCCAAACACTGTTTATTCTTCTTTAGGAATTTGTTTTAGTATTTTTGAAAATGCCGAGCTCTCCCTAGGTTTTTCTCCCAGCCCCTGACGGAGCTGCAGCCCAGGAAGACTGCTCTATAACTAAAAACTAAATAATGATGAACAAATTTGCCCCAAATACAGGTCGTTTCTGCTCTAGCTCAAGTGCATAAAGGAAGTAAAAACTCCTTGAATGCAGGGACCATACCCTACTGAGTCTCAGTCCCTTCAGTACCTAGCACTGTGCTTGCAGAAGTTTTATATGGAATTGCTGAGGATGCAGAATATTCATACTTGTGCACTTTTAAAATCAATGCGTATATTTGCTGTAGTGGCCTGGGTCACAGAGAAATAACACCCTAATGTCCTGTGGCATGTTATATGGAGTAGCTGAAACACACCCCATCCCTACCCCCAGGTCTGTGTTTCTCAAACTGGGACTCGGAGACACCCAGGAATCCCAAACTATTCCTGGGGGGATGTAGGCCTGTCTGTGAGAATTTTTATTTTATCTTTCTACCTTGGCGCTTCTTATCTCAGTGTCCATGTTTGCATTGAAATCTACAGTCGCGTGAAGTCTGAGCAGACTCTCCAAGGCAGAGCACTTAGCTCTTAGCGTGCTTCCCTCAAGCGGGGTCATTCAGATGGCTTGGGGTCTGTTCTCCGCAGGGCCCTGGGCTGAGCCCTGTGGACACAGCAATGAACAAGATGCACCTCATCCTCTGCCCTCATGACACTTAATTCTAGTGGGGGGTGAGGTGTCATAAAAAGAAAGTGAAATCATTACAAGGTGTAGTGATGCTATAAGGAAACAGTGATCAAAGTCACTGGAAGGGACCCGTTTCGAGAGGGTGGGGATGATGGGCCTTTCTAAAGAGGTGAAATTTAAGCTGAAACCTAAAGGGTCCAGAAAAGTAGACCATGTGAAAGGGGGTCATGGGTGGGAGCAGCAGTACCCCAGGCAGAGGGCATAGCAGGAGCAGAGGTCCCGAGGAAGTCACGAATTTGTTGTGTCAGGACTGCCAAACCCCTTTAAAGATGAAGTACTGAGAAACGTGAAGTTACAGTTGGCTCATAACTCACACGGGACATGCCTCAGACCTCTCTCAGCTTCACCCCATCTGAACTGAGACCATCCTGCCCAAGACACCACCATTTCTCACCTCGGCGTCTGCAAAACCTCTCTTGTGTCTCCCAGACCCCTCTCTTGCTATTGCCAATCTCTTCTGCTCAGAGGACTTAGAGTGATCGATTAATGACATCCTGTTTTTCTTAGGATAAAGAGCAAAATCCTTACCATGTCTAACAAAGCCCCATGTCCACGTTCCTGTTCTACTCTGGCCCATTTCCTCCCACGCTCACCTACACCAGCCACTCAGCTTTTCTCTCTACCTCAAGCATCCTAAGCTCCCTCCCGCCTCAGGGCCTTTGCACACCTGATCCCTCTCCCTAAAAGGCATTTGACCCCACACCCACCCAAACCCCTGGGCCTATCACAGACCTTCTCACCCTCAGAGTTCAACTGTAACGCCACTTCTCATGGACACCTTCCCTGTGCCTTAGACGACGGAAGCCCTTTTTTTTTACACTCTGTCAGCTCATTTTTTCTCTGCAGAACTTACCACATTTGTAATTATACGGTTTGTGTTTTTTTAGTTTTTTGCTTGTTTTTTCTTAACATTTGTATCCCCTGCTAGACTGTAAATTCCTCCAGAGACCAGACCATGTCTGTGAGATGCTGTGCCCCCTACACAAAGGAGATGCTCAATAACCATTAGGTGATTAAACAAACAAGTGAACAGATAAGCAGACCACCTGGTCCACGGTCAGATCAACTCACATCTCACAGCAAATCCACACAGAGAGGGGGAAATACAGTTATTTTTAACATCTACCCACAGAGTACTTTCAAGAAAGAAAACGTAAATCTTAAAGAGTCAAGATTGGAATGGCTAGCCTGCCTCTGTTTTTTCGTTCTTTCACTTTGTCTTCTTTTTTACCGACAGTGGGGTCTTTCTGTGCTTGCACGAGTTCTAACAACAACACCTACTGGTGTTTGCGTACAGTTAATGAGACGCATAATTTTCTTTTCTGTGAGTTCGCCACCGGCTTTTTGGAGTATTTCGATATGAATACAGATCCTTATCAGGTACGTCAATGTGTTTTCATTCTATGGAGGATATTGGAAATAGAGTAAGCAGAGCACAAGCTTAACTATATCGTCCTGGCCTCTTGGTCCACAGCTCACAAACACCGTGCACACGGTAGAACGGGGGATTTTGAATCAGCTACATGTCCAGCTGATGGAGCTCAGAAGCTGCCAAGGGTATAAGCAGTGCAACCCAAGACCTAAGGGCCTTGACGTGGGTAAGGAAAAAAAAATTTTTTTTCTATATTACCTGGAAAATTCTTTGTGCTGTCAAGTTTCCTGCCTTTGAAACATTGCTATGCACAGAAACATACAGTTTGGGCCACTTACAGGGGAATCTATCCAGGCAATTCCAAACACAGTTTCTTCTCTAAATTTAGCTCTGGGTGCATGAATGAAAAATTTAACGCACCAAAAGATTTGGTGAGTGTTTTGTTCCAACCTCTCCCACAGGACTTCTATTAGAAAGCCTTGGTTCCAGATAGAAGCATCCACTGGAAGATGGGATGAAAGCATTGGGGATTTATTTGTTTTTGCTGTCAACAGTCATAAAATATACTCTAGGTAAACCAGGATCTCCTATTTTTTTTTTAAGAGAATTTGGCTGGAAACACACAGTGCCCTGTTTTTGCTTATCACAATTTGGAGCTCCCCCAGTTGGACCCATGCCCACGACATAGTGCACTGATTTCTCTCACCGGCATTTTCCATCTGAAACTAGAGCTATTTGGGCCGCTCATTGTGGGATCTTAAAGTATGAGGGCCTGTATAAAATCTAGGCGATGTTCCCTCCTGGGCCTGCAGTATTTATTTCTCTGTTTGCCCATGGGGATGCATTGTCCGCCCCACGGTTAATGAGAATACTTATTTTCTCGTGATTCTTATAGAAATGTAAATACCAGCTGTCCGTTGAAGGAAGGAGGAGCTGGAGCTGGCTGAGGCCATGATGTCAGCATAGTATGCCAACCCCAAAAGAGTGAAGAGCTGGACACAGGCCTCGGAGAGCCGTTCACAGGAACCTGTTGCCAGGCTGGGTTTTCTCAGTGTCCTTTACAGCCTGTGTTTCTGCGAGTCCCTCGCAGCTCCCTGAGCCGTGTGACTTGAAAGGGGGGTAGGGGGAGCATCCTAAAAGGGCCAACATCCCACCTGTCATTTCCACCACCATAGGGTCCTGAAGGCTTTCGAGCTGTGAGAGCCCCATAAAAAATTACAAATCCTGCGAGAGAGGCCCCGGCTCAGCTGTCAACACTTCTCAGTTAACACCTCGGTGAAAGGAGTCGCAGCCGAAGAGTCCAGTCCCGACTTGCAGACTAGGCCTTTTGGTCACTGACCCCACTCCCCTCAAATCTTTTCAGATCTCCGGCTTATCTGTTGACCTTTTCCTCAAATCTTACCCCAAAACCCCACAAAGGCCTGGAAACTGAACCAACTCTTAGAGGCGCTGGAAATATTACACCCAGATATTTCTCCCCCAAAGAGCACAGCACTCTTATTGGTGATGACATAACAACTCCACTTGGTGAAACCTGACCAAGCGCATTCACGGGGAAGTGACTCGCCAGGTGGGGCCAGTTAGTGCCCTTAGACTTCACATTGTCCTCTCCACTTTCTAGGCCAGTCCTAAGGGACGTGATTATTGGCCCTTTTTTCCAAGTATTTTGTCTAAAAAATAACCAAAATGTAACTTTTACTGAGACTTAGACTTCTGGAAGTACTTTCTTCCTGCTTTTCCGTGGCCTCTCCTCCTTTCTCAACCCCAAGCATTTTTCATGTGAAAATTCTTATATGTTTTATCTTAAACCTTTTTACTTACAGCTTCCAATCCTCATTTTGAACCTAATAGAAAAGTTCCGTTGGACCTCGGCACTGTCTGTATTTAACACAATATGTTTCTTTCTAGGATTTAGATGTTGTGCGTGGAAATCTACATAGTGAATGGTTTTATGAGTCCTAACACTAACGTAAATTACTCTTGTATTTTCCTATATCAGGAAATAAAGATGGAGGAAGCTATGACCTACACAGGTATTCACACTCTTTCATTCTCCCTGGCAGCTTCTATCCCAATAACTGCATGATCCAGCCATTTCAACTAATTTTGGTTTCTTATCACATTGCACAGAGCATAGCTGGGGTGCATGCTTGTCCTAACAGCACTCACCACCGTCTCATGCCATTGGTTCTAGAGCTGTGTTTGTTTTGAAATCAGCTCACTGTCACAACAAGATTCTCAAGCATTTACTCACCCCTGAGCTTGTTTGCTTGATGAATGATGCTTTTAAGAGTGGAATTATGTGAAGGGGGGAAAAAGCAGAATGACCTTTGGGAGCCCTGGGGAGAGGCTGGGAGAATTATATTCCTTATGGTGCTTCCACGTTGATCGGCTGGAGAGGCTTCATGGAAACTGGTTATAGATTTTCATGAAATACGTCAAGAGCACAAAAAGAGCAACAGGAATTTTAAGAGCATTCTAAAGCCAAACTTGGAGAAGGTAGAAGAGGTTCCTTGCTAACAGTTGTAAATGAACGTTGCTGCTGAGAGGCAGCAGTGATGTGATTCAGAAGCTCTGCAGGAGGTGGTGGTTGAAGAGCGGGTGCTGGGGTTGAGGATAGGGTGCCAGGAATAAGACATGTAGGAAGGTCTCAGCATAGCCCCTAGACAATGCTGCCTGACACACAGAAATGTCCTAAACAGGCCTCAGCCCAGTTACCTTGTCTCTCTCCAGCCCCCACCCATCCCTATTACCACATCTTGCTCCGACGGATGGGGGACCCAGATGCCTGGTGGCCATGTCACTTGGTCACCTGGCATCCTCAGCCTTGCCCATTTTCCACTCCGAGCATAGACCTCAAGCGGGTTTGTCAGAAATGTGCCATGTGGGGCAAGAGAGTCTGTCCTCACCACCTCTGTTGCGGGGAAACTGAAGTACGCTGTCAGCACCCTGGTCAATGAAGCTGCGTGGGGGAAAAACTTCCCTCAAAGGCATGTGGCCTTACCTACTGCCGTCCGCACTGATGCCGTCTCAGAAGCGAAAGAATACTGGTGTTTCGGGGCTCCCTGTCCGCCCGCCTCCACCCTGCAGCCTCAGGGCCCCCCTTTGAGGGGCCTCTCCCTGGTGGGACCAGAAGCGAAACAGCGGGAAGGGTGGTGGGAAGATGTAAACAAATGAAACACGCAAAGCTGGACTTTTGAGGCTGCTTGATAACGTTTCTATCTCTTCTTTTTCTCCTCTCTCTGTCTTCTTTCCTGTCCTCGCTCTGCCCCCACCCGACCCGCGCCACCCGTAGCCCACGTAGGACAGAGCAGAAGAACCCACTCATAAGCTGGTCTCACCCGGGATATGGGCTGACGAGGTAATACCCCGCACACAGGCTGCTTCCGGGGGGCACTGAGGACACTTCCAAAGTGTGACATTTTCAATGGACCTGACACTGAATATTGACTTTACGGTGATTTTGTGATGCCCTCGGATTTTATAGCTCAGGGATTTTTCATGTGGCCTTCTTTTACTTCTGTCATGAGGGAGGCAAAGCACATTGACAGGTTATTTAGGACAGTCTGGTCAGAGCCGAGTCGGGGTTCCTCTCCATCAAGTTCCCCCCGGACACCTTTGAAGTGAAGAATGCTCACCTGCCCTGGCCGGTGTGGCTCAGTGGTAGAACATTATTATTATTATTATTATTATTATTATTATTATTATTATTATTATTATTATTATTATTATTTGGGGGTGGGAGTGGGAAAGATTGCGTGTTCTCCAATTTTTTGTTTTTCTGTATTTCTTGCAGGACCTGAAATTTCCCCCCTTTTGCTCCCTTTTTTCTTTATCACCGGGGTTTCCAAAGAGTGTGTGTCTCTTCCTTTGTATGCCTTTGTCCCTGAAGCAATGCCTTCGACAGCCACCTGGATGCATGCACACTTAAGTCACAGTCACCTCTGTGAATTACCAGGACTCTCCAGTACTTAAACTTCAGATTCACATTCTTTCAGTGATGGTTTCAAACCTGTTCTTAACTCCATCCTCACTTCCTCCTGCTCTTCTTGTCCATACTGTTTTCTAGGGCTGATGCCCAAAGTACAGCTCTGCTGAGAGTTGGCGTTAACTCTTTTTACTTACAGGTGATTTGAAGGTTATATAATTTTCTATCTTCTAGCTAAACTGAGATTTGGGTTTTTGTGTAGTTTTCCTTAATGTTCCCGCTGATCTGTATTGCTTGTGGGTAGTTCAGTGTATTAATCTAGGCCACCTCTTCAGAACAGTGCTTGGGCACAACTGAAGAAAAGATGTGGTTTTCTGCAGGACTGTGGTCATCTTGGTGCTGTAGAAAGACCTGAGAGAGAGAGAAAGCGGCTGCATTCTTTGCATACTGTGCAAACCACTGAAAGATTGATTTGTCTAGGTCATAGAACTTTTAGGGCCAAAAAAAAAAACAACAATCAAAGAAATAGATTCAAGCATTTGATTTGAAGAGTTTAATTGCACTCAATTTTGTTTTTATACAAAATAAAATATCTTACTAAGCACTGCCTATTACATTAAAATACTTTCAAATCCGTCATTCACTCAATCAACCCCATCAGTAGTAAAGGTTTTATCACACAAGCATCCCCATGTTTGCCAGATGAGAGACCCAGACTCAGAGGCTCGCTCACGTGATTTCGTGGTTACAGAGTTGACTTCAGTAGAGCCAGGAGTGAAACATGGGCCCTGACTTTGCCTAGTCATAGCGGTTATCACTTGCTTGATCAGCTTTTCAATTTTTTGTTAGTGTTCAATCACTTTTGTAACCTAAGGCCACCCCTTGATAACAAATTACCAGGGGAAAATACGTTTGGTGTTATACTTCAAATTGATTTGCTCTGTCAAAACCATGTAAGTTGCTTGTCCAAAAATCAGAAATCTTTTCCCCACTAATGACCCGCCTTCATCTCTCTTCACAGAGGACAGCTATGGGATGGATGGGAAGGTTAACCTTCCCAGGCCCAGCGCAGACATCAGCGGGCAAGGCCTGGAGGACGTGCACAGTGTGAATGAAAGCGTCTCTGAGGACAGACAGAACTACAGACTTAGTCTGCTTGACTGGGCTAATTACTTGGAGGGTGTAGATAGAGTATTTGCACTGCCAAACGGTCACCACGAGCAAATTAAGACCAATGAGGCTAAAGCTGCTCGAAGTGATGGGTTCCTGGCTGTATCTGCTGAGCTCTCTGTGCCCGTAGAGATGGCCTCCGCTGAGTCGGATGAAGACCCGAGCCCTGTGGTTGGGGAAGCCCCTCATTTGACCTTGCCAGCCGACCTTCAAACCCTGCATTTGAACCGACCAACATTCAGTCCGGAGAGTAAACTTGAGAGTGAACTTGAATGGAATAACGACATTCCAGAAGTTAGTCTTTTGAATTCTGAACACTGGAGAAATCATAAAACTGACAAATGGATGGAGCCTGAAGAGATGAGTCACCTTGAACTTGACCTCAGTGGTGGTGACATGCCAGAGCTGGCACCCAAGCCTGCCCTCAGGCTGCAGCCCATCAGCAGGCACCAGAAAGGACTTCCCCAGCATCGTGGTCCAGAAGAAGATGTTTTCGAAGATCAGCTGCATCTTCCTGTGCATTCTGATGTGGATTCCACTCATCCGACCATCAAAATGTTCACCTTGGAGCAACCCATTAACTCCAGCAGCCTGGAGAGCGTGTCCAACGAGGTGGAGAACAGTCACAGAAGGGGGACTGATTAGATGAAATTGTTACCTTACCCTAAACACAGTATTGTTTTTAACTTTTTATTAGTAAACTAATAAAGGCAATCAAGACAACCTACATTCCAAGCTACCCTCGGTACCTGTGTGCAGTAGACGGCAGTGCGCATGCAAGCGGGCGCACAGGGACCTGGTTTGTAATTCACTATGTGTCGAGAGTAGAAAGAAAGGTGATTTGTGGATTTTTGTTGGCTTAGGGGATACTAAAACAGTATTATCTTTGGACAGTTGTAGGGACATGCATATATCAATGCTGGCCAATCAAGATGGCTAGAATTGTGCCTTCCTGTGTTTCTGAAATTGGACGTCCTCGGTGAATCTTTCAACACACTTTCCACCACCTGCATCATGTGGTTTGGGTTCATTTTTAACCACTGGAACTTTTCAATGCCATCACTTTCAGTTCATTCATTTTGCACTTTGAGATATCTAAATGCCATGTCTGTTTGGCTAGTCTTTTTATTATTTTTTTTACAGGCTTTTCACAGTCTCACTGTTTGTTCTCAGTGTGACAAAGTAAAATAGAACCCCAAGGACGACACACAGTGTAGATCCCATATTGTTGAACATACGCTTTTGCCAGAAAATATTGCATGTGTTTGCCCTCGACTTGCTAAAATTGATTAGCAGAAAGGCATGACTAATGAAGTTGGCAGCAAAAATATACAAGTAAGCAAAACAAAGATCACCTGCTCTCTCTGGGCCTAGCCTCAAAGTGTTCATCGTATGCTTAAGATAGCTAAATTTTTATTATTTTCTTAAGAGGATAAAAGGACTGAAGACTTTTTTTTCCCCCCTGAGCTTTTTCTTGACCTGGCTGATAAGCTTAAGTGTTGAGAAATTATATTTTGTTTTGAATTTATATAAGGAATTTTTTCCAATAAAACACACTCATGAATGTTTCATAATTTAAACACACCATATGTGTTGTATGATTATTTTTAAGACCTTCACCAAGTTCTGATTTTTTTAAGGCATAATTCAAAACTGCTTTACAAATTGTGTTCTTAAAAATATTCTTGTTATGTATTAGATTTTTAAATACCAGCAAAAGGATTACCTCATTGAAACTTATCAGTATCCTAATCCACTTCCCAGTAATAGCTTAACAGCGATTTTCTTTTTAGATAATTGAAACACATAGGTAAATTATGTTTTCTTTAAGTGTTTAAGGTAAACTCTTTTACAGAAAATTTAATATGTTATAGCTGAATCTTTGATAACTTTAAGTCCTTACTATAGACTCTGTACATATGTTAAAATTAACTAGCTCTTTATCAGATGTGTGTGTCACCGGCTGAATGACAGAGGAAACATATTTATGGTCATGAATGATGTGCTTTGTAAAAAGGCTTCACCTTATTCGGAAGCATACTGTGTTTTTAATCTTGTGTAATATTCTGTAATACTTTTATAGAACAATTCTGGCTTCAGGAAAGTCTAGAAGCACTATTTCTTGAAATAAAAGGTGTTTAAACTTTACCTGTTTCAGAGACATGAACTTGACCAAGTTCTTATGGTACACCCATTCCTTGCAAGTAAAATTAAATCCTGACCTCAATTTACATGATTGGCTATTAGCTAGATCAATAAAACTGCCCCAAAACCAGTGTGTTATAGAACATTCTCAGATGAGGGATCGCAGCGTGGATTTGTCTCGTTGCTGTCAGGAGGGTGTGGCAGACAGCACAGGGTGACTTCGGGGCGTGCGGCCTGGGCACCTGCACCAGGCTAATACTTGGCTTACTTCTCTGCTGTCACCATCTTGATATGCTTAATAATTTTTGAACAAGGGACCCCCACATTTCCATTTTTCACTGGGCCCACAAATGATGTATTCCAGTCCTGGGCAGTACAAATGAAGTTTTTTTAAAAAAAAGGCCCTGGCCAGCGTGACACAGTTGGTTGAGTGTCGTTCCCTACACTGAAAGGTTGCAGGTTCGATTCCCAGTCAGGGCACATACCCAGGTTACAGGTTCAATCCCCAGTTGGGATGTGGACCCTCCCTCTCTCTCTCCCCCTCCCTCCTTCTCTCTCTAAAATCAATAAAAATATACCCTTGGATAAGGATTTTTTTTTTTAATTAAAAAACAGGAAGACAGACCCACCAAAGGCAGTTTGGGGACCTTGGACTTTGGTGGAGACCTAACCACCCTCCAAGACCTCGAGTTTTCTGCTGGACACTTCCTTCTGCTCTAGGTCTCCTGAGGACCTTTCTCCCCTCAGGTAGAGCCCCTAACAATCTATGAAATGTCCAGAAATCAGAAATGTCTGGTAGCAATAAAGAAAATAAAAGCAAAGGACTTAGGGATCTGCCAATTCAGTCCTTAGATAACTGAGGAAACCATCTGTATTAGTTTGTTAGAGCTGCCATAACAGAACACCACAGACTGGATGCTTTAAACAACAGAAACTTATTTTCTCACTGTTTTGGAGGCTGGAAGCAAGATCTGTCAACAGGGCTGGTTTCTCCTGAGGCCTCTCTCCTTGGCTTACAGATGGGCCACCTTCTTGCTGTGTTCTCACATGGCCTTTCCTCTGTTCATGCATATCCCTGGTCTCTCTCTGTCTCCCCTTTCAGCTGATTATTAAAATGCTTCAGGCAATTAATACCTCAATGTGGTCCACCAGCCTGGTTCATTTGGGCCCTCATGACTTATAAAAGCTGCTGTGGAAGCTGTACTAGCCCCCTCAGCCCCTTATCCTCTTCAGCCTCTCCCAACCCCAATGCATCCCACGTTCACTGCCTGGTGAGTCTGCCATCACCATGGCTCAGCCTCCGACTCAGAAACTTCAATGATTATTTAATGTCCTCTGTGAAGTTCTAGCCTTTCATCCACCCACCTGCTCTCTGCTCCACCTCACCTGTCACTATTAGCTTCCCTTGGGTTGGCACCACCTTCCCAGGCCTGAATTTTAATCCACTTTCCACCTACCCTCCTGGGGTTTATCCCCATACACCATCTCAGCCTGTAGAGATCTCACCCATCCTTCAATTCCCATATCATCTGAAGTTTTGCTTTTCCTTCCCATGTAAACTTCCCTGGACTCCTCCACCCCTGGACACAGTTTCTCCCCCATTTTACACTCTCCCCCAGGTAAAGAAACACTGATGATGTACCAAGTCTGGGGCCAACAGAGTGAGACTAACTGGCCGCATGCTAACCTTGCTCCTTCCCCCATTTCAAACCAAGAAACTTACCTAATGAGACCGCTGGTTAGTATTGGTCAACTCACCTAGTTATGTTGTTGACATTAAAAAGTTTGCCAGCACAATACCTTGAGCCTCATGGTGAGTCCACTGCTGTATGAAGTAGAGAAAGTGACTTTCAGATTTCCTGCCGGGACTAGAATATCCCTGATCCCAGATGTTAAGGAAGCACTGGAGAGGGGTGGGGACAAAGGGAGCTACAGAGCTGAAGCCTTTCATGCTGAGCACCGCCTCACTTTTCTGCTGAATTTCCAGCCCCCACACCAGTCGGCCTCCCACAACTCTGGGGCTCAGAATCTGCATAGTTACTCCACCTCCCAGACCCAACAGCACAGGTGACCCAGAACCAGAGTGGAACCAATCGAACCACTAATAGGCCTCAGCAAAAGAGGAGATGTTATAGACTTCGCCACCTTAGTATGCTTGTGGTCACTAAGAACCCCACACAACTCAAGCCCAGGGACCTAAGGGCCCAGTTTAGTAGAGCATGTATTTTCCATAATGACCAGTAGATGTCACTGTAGTACAACTTAAGACATCTTGGCTGGGGGCCAGAACCTGGGCCCCTGGCAGACCTGCCATTTAATTGATTTCTAAAATAGCTTCACTACCATTTTTACAAGAACGCATCTAGAACAGCGTGATCCACACTGCAGCCTCTCTCATTCTGCAGTGCCTAAGATCCTAACCATGCCAGCAGGCCAATGAACAGTTTCGGCATTCTACTGATTTATATGGATATTATGAGTTGGAACTACATCAAACTTTGACATTTAAATTCAAAAGTGAGCACCGAATATTGATCTCCTTGCTTTCCACTGACTTTGTGCAATTAAAAATTTTTTCTGGCTCCCACAGGCTGAAGCTCCAGAAGCCGTCTGTCTCTGCCCAGCTGACAATTTTAAAAACAAGAGAGGAACTGGATGCTTTTTAATAGCTCTTAAAAAGCTGAGGTCGTACCAAGTCTGAGCTAAAGCAGTAGCTACATCATAACCTTTCCTCTCTCCTCATTTCTCAAAAAGAAACTTTTTCTCATGTATCTATTTCAAAAAGGCCAATATCCAGGTTGGTTCTGCCTCTCCCTTGCAAGTGTGAGAAATTCAACAGGAACACTTTTGCCTAACTTGCACACAAAATTGAAGAGAAGGTGGCAGATTTGGGCAGGGGTACTATTTGCTCTTTGCATAAATGGCACCCTTGATGAATGCACAAGGCCAGGTGGGAAATAAGCATTCACCCAGAAGTCAACAGATGCACTCACCCCAATAACTCATGTATCTCGAGCCATTGTGACCCTCTAGTTTCGCTGTGCAGAGGGTGGCACAGTGAGAAACGGAAATCAATTAGCCTGCTCTCCACCTATCGAGTGCTCAAGGCAGGCTTCTAAATATAAAATACAACCACTTTATGCTTCAGTCCATGAGTCATGCTGTTATTTCCACAGCTCCTTTTACCTCCTTCCACCTCTCATCCAAAAGTCTCAGATGCCAGTATACTTGGGAAACTCTGCAGTCATCAGAAGAGACTTCAAAATCCAGTGCTTTTTCCCCATGGGTGGAGTCAGCGCACATTCTTCCTCCAATTTCAGACCAGTTCCTGGGCCACTTTAGCAACGATTAATTCAGTGGAGGATGGGGAAAGGGAGTTGAACTGCTTTGACCAAGTTTTGACAGCCACTCCTTCAGAAATCATTTTTTATGCTTGAGACTTTCCTTTTGTTTAGCAATTTTTAGAATAATGAGTTGGACTCCTTTGAGAATCATTCTTAATCTATCATGATCAATCTGTGTGGCAAAAAAAAAAAAATATCCATCGAATGCTCACCACTTGCTCCCCTACCCTTCCAGGATCTCAGAAGTTAGGCAGGGACGTGCAACTAGTTCAGACCAGTGCAGTGTGCCACATGTCACCTCTGGGCTGAGAAAGAGAACAGGCCCCTTGCCTTTCTCTGGGCTCTTCCTTTCCTTACTCAGTAACCAGGACCAACCCTGAAAGTTCCAGATGGTACAACTTCAAGATGGTAGGACCTCTATCAGGCTGGGTCCCTGAAAGACTAGGTGGGACAGACCCATATAGCCATGTGATGGAAATAAGTAAACTTTTGTGCTGTGAAGTCACGGAGATTTGGGGGTTCGCATGTTTTTAAGCATAATTAGCCTATCCTGACTATCATAAACCATATTCTAGGTACATAGTTCAGCAGGCCCAAAGTCAGTCTGAATTTAAATAGATAAGCGATAGGCCAGTTAAAACTACTTTCTGGTGACTCAATGAAAAAATGTGCTCCCACAGGCTCTTAAAACTACAGTCCTAATAGTTAACACTTAGGACATTTGACTTCAAAGCAGAGTTATCAGTTACATAAGGAGTTCATTACCACCAATTCTCAGAGTAGTGGTGGGCTATTTAATCCAATCAAATCCCTGTGTGTTCATTGTGTGGTGGTAGGGGGGAGGATGATTACACTGGCATCATTGCTTCATCTCTTCAAACAACAAAAATCATAAGAGGCAAACTACTTTCAATCCAACACACTTTATTCTTATTTTTGTACTTTTTTCCTTAATTTTCAGTGATCAAGTATTCAAGATGTTGTAAACCGAGGTTGATTAGTATATTGACAATAGATTTCATTAAACACAAGGAAATTATACATCTTTTTAATTACCCTAAGAGGTCACCAAATAAATATTCATTTTAAAAATTACAAAATCAAACTTCTTTATGCAACATCTCAAAACAACCTTTCATCACAGACATACACACCTCTACACACAGACACACACACACACACACACACACACACACACACACACAGGCTGAACAGGCACTCCACTAGGATCCTAATGCCAGCTGGCTTGACACAGTATTACATCTCCTTTAACTAAAGAATTAGAGGCTGACCTGCCGGTTTCATGCTTCTAACTGACATTTGGGGTTTGGGGTAGAGGTATGTATTGTAAGAAAAATGCCCACTATAAAGTCTTACCAATTATTCTTATTTTACTTTTCCAGATACAAACTTCTTTTGTTTACCCCTTTGGTTTAACATGTCCCTGCAATTACATTGGTTTTAGTTTTTAATAATGTCTTCTCCTTGGATTTTACATGTAACAGTAGAATACCAAAAAAAAGGCAACATCTTCATACCCCAGTGTTAAAAACACTTTACAAGGTGTACGTTTTTAGAGAATAAGAAAAGATTATCTGAAATACTTTTCCCCTCTCTCTGAAATTATTCTTAGCATCTAATTATTCTTGCTAAAATAATTATCAAAAGCGCTGAGTTTTTTATAGAAAAAAGGATTCCCCCTTACACCCCACGTCAAGTTCATGGATTAACTGTCGTGAGGGTAGTAAGTGCTTGTTTCCGGGAAGTTCTCCAGATTTCCAAAAGCAAAGCACATGCAGCCCCTTATCAGTGAAATACTGTGGATTCAGTGGCGCGTTTTTGTGGTGAGCATGCTTCATCAAATACTTCTAGCACCAAGGCATTAGTTTTTAACGTTGCAAAAGCAAATATCCAGGGAGGGTCTTCCTCTTAGTTGACCCTTCCTAGGGCTGAGTAAAAATGAAGTGCTTAAAATAACCTCTTCAAGCATACAGAGGTCTGATTCCAATGTAGCAAGAAGTCTGGGATGGATACGGCCAGCAGCATCCTGGGAGATGAGGAAAGGAGAGAAGACGGAAAAGATAAAGTGCTCAAGGCCGCTGACTTCACGGTCAGCCATGGCACTCCCTTGGCCAGTGTGAAAGAGAAAATCTGAACATGTGTAAAGGCCACCTACTGGTCTGCATAACAAAGTCGGCAAACCCGCAGTCTGGGCAGTTCCAGGGTTATACAGTATTGTGATGTCTATCTGCTTAGAATGCTCAGTACGCACCGATATAGCAACAGTAATATTCATGTTTCTGTGCCATTTAGGATGTTTTATGTACACACAAAACCACAAAGTAGAACTGGCTACCACCTAGGCTTGGGCTCTCCGACTGCTCCTGGGCACACGAGAGAATTTCCACAAATGCTTCAGGTCCATTTAAACTACGAAGCTTTGGTGCACCTATGCTTGATACATAACCAACTCCAAAACGAAATGTTCTGGCTCCAAGCCCACCAAGGTACGCAAGCTGCAACTGCTGACTGAAGAAGTTTCCTTGGTGGGTGGTGAAAACGGGGGGCTGCCATACCCTCTGCCAGGCAACTCCCTTCCCTGGTGGCTGACATTGCCAAGTGCGTGCTCCTGCTAACGGTCACAACGGTCACGACCCTGGTTTGGTATATTACATATAACATTTTGTAAATGTCCTCTTAACATGTAACACTTTATATGTTCATTTAAAACTTTTATTGGGAAACTTAAACCAATTTTCACCAAAAAACTAATGAAACTGTTCACATTCTGAAAGAGGGGGGTTGAAAAGCACATATGCCTGAAATCCACAAAGCTCAGGTTCAATCGATCTGAACCTCGTTTCCTCGTAATGTTTCATTTCAGAAGCTCTGCTGAAACTCAGCGTTATCACTGACATTGGACTTGTTCTGTATTAAATACACACTATAAATAAATACTTGAGGTATGTTAGGACAAAAGATTTTGACTATCACACTTAGCTAAATAAATGTAAATTTACCTTGCAAATCTAAACATTAAATTTTAATGTTTCCTACAAATTTTTTCTATTTTACACAAAGAAATAATTCTCTACTCTTCAGAAACAGTAGCATATCAAAAACCAAAATGATTTACCTCACTATCTTCTAGTCACATCTTATCTCTGTTAGCCAAAACTATTATATGCATCACATAGTGCCAGAAGTGAGCCGAGACAGAGAAACCTGCGTTGCCTGACTTGCCCACTCTACAGTCCTCAACAAGTCACTTCACCTCTCAGAGCCTCAGTTTTCATAATCTGTTTTTTAAAAAAACAACAAAAACATAGTAACAAAACATAGTTTTATCTTTCAAAGTTATTGAGAGGATTAAAATGAATGATGTATATTAAGTGCTTGACAAAATGCTCTGCAAATAGTCAACACTTAGCACATTTGTGTCCTCTCCGCTCCTTTCTTCCCCCACCTTGGTTCTGAATGACTTTTGACTGTTTTTCAAGAATTAAAGCCACCTACAAAGGATCAGTATTTCATAGTAATGAAAATAACCAAAGAATGCACTTGAACCCCCACCTGCCCGCTGGAGCTTTCTAAATTAATAGGCTACAGTCAAAGGTATTATATTTGCATATTAAAGCCAAATAATATATTAATCTACAGAGTTTATGAAAGAACAAGAAGACTTCTTTCCAAAACAAGTAATTATAAGCTTAAGTTCATGGAGAGTGTCGATTAAACTTATAATAGGAGCTGTGACTATAAAGTGACATAACCAATTTATTAACAAGTATATAAGAACCTCATATATACAATTAAATGGTGTTGTCTATAAAACAGTCACTTTAGTTGACTACACATTTCAGTGATATTACCAGAGCCCAAACCATTTTGAGGACAACTCTTACTTGGTACATATTCCAAAACTTCAATCCCCCATAATTTTTACTATTTAGTCTACACTCACCAACAACACATTGATGATACACCTGCTATTTATAAGCATCAGATACTTGAGGAAGTACAATACTAACACTGTGATGTACAACTCATGCTAATTCCTTTGAATTCTGGCCCAATCAAACCCAAAGGATTTCATAGAGTGGCAAATGGTAACGAGTCAAATGGTGGCTGAGAGAGAACTGGCACCCAGCCATAGGCTGCTGAACTGGATAGAGTTCAAGGTCGAGAACAGAGGAGCAGCTCCCTAATTACACCTGATTACTCCATCACTCCTTATCCTGGAGTTCTGAGAGCATCTCCTTTCCAAAATATCCTACCAAGAAGAGAGAAATTATAACAGTGTTGAAACATATCACCTTAGCTACCAAAAAAAAAAAAAAGTGTAATCTCATCAATATTTTCTCAATTCAGTTTCTTAAAAATCAGTGGGAAATTAAGAAAACACTACCTCTCTCTCCCCAACCTACCTATCTTTAGCTCTTCAAAAAGCTCAAAGATTTCCCATAGAGGGTAAAGGGGAACCCTGAAGCCCCAGAGTAGACACTGGGTTAATCAGCAATATTTTCTGAAGACCTTCAATATGCACCGTGTTGACCAAAGTTTGACGGACACCAGTGTAACTTAGGCAACAATAGTTCCATGACTTAGTCAAACAAGACGGCCCAAAGGGAAGTCCTCATCACTGAGACCACTGGCTCCACCCCTTGGAGACATTACTCAGTCCAATAGTGATAACCCTCTCCACAAACTGCATGCAACCAAGAGAACCATTTGACTGATGCCATTCCTAGGTAGAGAGGAAAACAACCCTGTACCCAGGAATATTCACACAGCCCCACGGGGCAGCCAAGGATGGAGGGTAAAGGCCTGAATCGTTGGACAGTTCTGCCAATCACATTCTTTCTGTGGAAGAGTGTAAACCAGCCAAGGAAACCATATGCCAGGTTAGCCCTCCGCGAGCGCAGGCTACTTGTCAGAAACAGTGATATTGGTATTTGGAGCTCACAGTCCCTCCTATATCTGATTGTCATGATTCTTTTTCTGAGTAGCCAGCTCCCATGAGTTCACTTGCCATCAGTCCATAGTGCCGTCAGGAGGCATCTGCCTTAAGAACCACGTAGAAAGCATTCTGGGTGGCACCTAAATCGAAGTGATGCCCTGGGAGGTGCTGGAAAGGATCATGGGTAATGAACCCAAAGGAACAGAGAAGTCCTCTTTCAGATCGATTCCAGGAGGGAGGAGTCGAAAGGTGGTGTAAAATGATTGTAACCCTGATAAAGCAGGATTCAGTACGCAGGCCAATTTATTTTGTATTTTCCATCATTATTTAGGATCATATTACAGGTCCAGCTCCCAGGTCTCCCTCCTCCTGCATTCAAGGTGATTTCCATGTAGCATGTATAGCCTTCCTGGTTTAATGACTCAATCTCAGTAACAACCATAGCAATTTTCTGTACGTAAGAAAGAGAACAATACAGATTTGCTAGTGTTTCCAGGCAGATAACTAAAATGATCGGGCGGGACTCAATCTTACATCTCTGAAATTCCTTTTTCCAACTATTTTGAGTGTCAAGGTTACAATTCCTAACTACCCTTACGTGGGTCCTTAAGAGGTAAAAAAATTTCTGCAGCAATTTTTTTTTTTTTTTGGATGAGAAAGCTGTGCGTTTCTTTCCTTATTATGCATCTCAAATTACAGTTTCTAGCCATGTTGTTTAGCACACTAGTTTTAAAACCCCTTATGAAGGAATATTGGAGTTTATATTCAAGCTATCAGATAACTTAGCAGCCTCCTTAACTACCATATGATGGGGGCAGACAAACTAAGAGAACGTGTCTCATGAAATGAAGTAGCTGTTCCTTTTATCACGCTATGCACATGGTTCCCTTGAAGCGTTTGAAAACTCCTACCTGATCTATAATTCTGCTATGGCTTAAAATGCTATCAACAGTACTTTAAGGAAAGTAGAGCTTCCTCTTTTCAAAATGTATCTGCTTTAGTCTCTGAAAGCAAAAGTCACATGCTGCACTTACATTTTCCTGATCAAATTGCATAGTTGAGGCAAATTCATTTGTGCTTTGGAGCAGAACTCACAGTAGGTGTTCAGATCTAAAAAAAACCACGCTGATTTGTAACTGCAAAGTCATGGTCAAGCTCACCTTGGTGTGGAGTGTATGCTAAGGAGAGGCACCGCCATCACACCTCCCTGATTTTGTTAACCGCGTACCTTGGCCTTATACCACATTGGTGCATGAGCATGGAACTAACCTAGCGGAGATGGTAACAAGTCTGTCCAAACTCCTCCTTCTTGGACAGAAGGCGGGAAAGTTCTCAGTCTCATTGAGGTATCCAGCCCTCAATCGACAGTGGCTGTGTATGCGGAGTTTTGTTGGGCTGAGGATTGTGTCTTTAGAGGTTAAAAAAGGGGAAGAAAGAAAAGAAGGCACGGGTGTTTCTCAAGTCGCCAATATTCAACTCAACCAACAAAACTAAAGTCTTCTACTTTCCAGCTTCAGGAGCGAGGCTACACGGCAGCAGGCCCCTCTCGCAGCCCCGGGTCTGGGGAGGGACTTATTGCTTCTGGGAAGGGCCCCGGGTAGGTCTGCGCTGCGCAGTGGGGCCCCTTTCGCAGACGAGTCTCTTCGTGGAGTTCTCCGTGGGTGCTGAAGGCCGGGCAAGATCTAGTCCGGGCGTGCTTGTCGGCGCCCTCGGGCTGGCCCACCAGCTCGCTCACCGTGCCCAGGGGGAATTCTCGCCACCTCTGCCTCTGCAGCGCGTCCTCCTTGTATTTAATGGAGTACCAGGCCAGGAAAATAAAAATAAAGCCAACGAATTTGAGGCCGGCCGCCAAACCAAAATAGACGAAACGAAACGACGTGACATTGTACTCCCAGCAAGAGCCTTGCACTCCGCATTCCTGTTGCCAGAGCATGCAGGTGGTGTCAATAACTGCTCCAAAATAAATTGGAGTGGGAATGTATGCTAGAGGTGCAGAGAGGGGGAAAAGAGAAGACAGGTATTTAGCACATCGATAAGAAAAAAACGGGTTTGCAAATGTGCTTTGTGTGCTGGGACTCCAGTAGAGGGGAGTGGTTTTCTTGTGTTATTATCAAAATGTGTACTAAATTGTGGATACTTTAAACCTTCCAGTTTGCAACTCTTTTCCTATTCAACTACCCCTTTGCTAAACAAATTTTCTTCTTTGAAAATCACTTTTTAATTTTCACTGAGAAGTATAAGGCATACTTCTAAACTATATCAAAGTATGGCAGACTTTCCTTTAACCAGCATGCTTTGAAAAATGGTACCTTCAACGTCTTATTGGTACCAAAAAACAAGCCACACATTCAATACAACCAGAAAGAAGCCTTTGAGGCTCACTGGAAAGTGTTCCCTCTCAGGCCATCAACCCACAACATGGGACAAATGGAAAATTCCAGAGAGGATTAAGGTTTCAAAGGGTCAGATGATGCCATTTTATAAAGTTTCACCTTTCAAAACTGAAATAAGAAATTTGAATCAGAAAACGCTTTTTTTGTCCTGTGGACAATGATGCTGATTACTGGGGGAAATAACAGCTGGAGGAAATCAGACTGCCACTTAAGAAAGAAAAAATATGCCTGATAATGAGGAAGTCAATTAAGAATACATTGCAATTGATCAAGAGAATGGACTACATCACACGCTATTTCCCGTGCATTGTCCCAAGACATCACAGGGCGATGCAGTGTTTGTAAAAATCAGAACGACATTCTCCATGCCCAGTGAGCTCAGCAATTCCCACATCAGCACAGCGCTAAGGAGCTCCACTTGCTAATCAGGAAAGGGCAGTCCCTGCATGTCGATTTCGGCATCTTTCTTTTTTTAGAATATTTTATTTCTTTTGCTCAGCAAACTTGATGGGTACACTCTTTGCCCAATCCAATAAAATTACTGGAATAAAGAACTGGACATTTTCACAAATAAAAAAAGCACCACTCCCCACCAATTTCATGTTAAAAAACCATAAAGGGACAAAAGTGCCAGAATTATAAGCCCATCACGATCGCTTGGTTCAATATTTCTTACTGTACAAAAGTCTCTAGGGAATTTAGCCCAAGTTTACATTCACAGTGAAAAAAGAAACTGACCTCAAGTCGGTCTGGTTTTGTTTCATCAAATGACAGACTAGTCAGCTTTCAGTTCAAATCAGAAAACAAGGAAGTTGTGCTCCCACCGCTAACCTGTAAAGTCCTCGCTACTACAATGGTAACAAATGACTGCACTTGCCGTTTTAAAGGGCAGTGAGAACTTGCCATCTGCAAAGAGGAACTAAGAGGCACATTTGGAAATTGAGGAACGTACCAAGCGTTCGCAGTAAAACAAATTGCATTCCCAGAGCAAAAGGTCTCTCCTCATCTTCCACGGACCTAAAGGGAAGGAAAAAAATGTTTTAAAATCATGGTCTGGAGACAATGACTGCCAAATCAAACCTGCTTAGTGCAGGGCCAGGGGCCAGGGAGGTGCTGTTGACAAAGTGTTTAATTTTCTAGAATTTATTAACAATTGCCAAGCAAGACTGCTGATGGCTAAACCAGTTGAATAAAGGTGGCTCCATCGAAGACAGCCAAGAAATCCCAATTTACTCTGATCATTTCTATGTTAATACTGACGGAAGGGCCACAGAGCCAGGGCTGAAAGTGGCTCTAACAGCTTCCCAAATCAGTTCTATTAAATATACACGGCACTTTTATCCTAACTACTACATCTTTTCTCTTTGCCTGCACTTTCTTGAATGGTGTGTACGCTGAAAAATTATTACTCCTGTAATTTCTAAAGGAAAAGTATAGAGAAAAAAAGTTTTACAATATATAGTCAAAAAAATGTATAGGGAACAAGTCGAAAGTTAGAAAAATAATGAATCCCTGCCAGCCACATTTTTTTCTTCTTTTCCTATAACTTATGCTCCAAGTAATTCCCACAGGGCAGGAAGATTAGACTCTATTGATTTTGTAATTAGCAAAGAGTAAAGGGCTCCTTTTCCAAAGTTTTGGGTTGGATGCCAACTGGTGCCTTGCCATGTTTGAACACTATAAATTGGGCAGCCCTTATCTAGCTGACTGAACATCTCTTGCAGAATTAAAGTTCAAAGGATAAGATTATTTAACACCTCCTGTAGAATTAAAGGTCAAAGAATTAGGTTATGAATGAGTCTTATTTTTTATGATGAAGTACCCTCGCCTTTCTATCCCATACACATGGTCCTAAGTAGAGAATGCAAAATTCATCTTTCCCCCGACTTCATTTTCTCAGAGCTTTTGCCCAACACTGCTCGCAGTCACTACTCCATTCGTGCGTGCTGATGGAGGGACTGAGTGAACAAACAAGCAGGGCTTTGGTGCGCTGTCATCTACCCGCCAAGGAAGGAGTTGGCTGGGCAGCATCTAACTTGTAGAATAAGCAGGGAAGCAGCCCCAGGGCCCTGCTAAGAAAGCTGTCTCCACAGCAGCTTCCCTGCTCAGCATTGTGGGGAACAGAGGAGCTGGGGGGAGGTAAAGAGTAAGGACTCCGGCCTTTCCTGACTCCCCCCAACCCCCCACGGCTGCTGTGGGTGTGTTCGGGTTTCTCCATGCTGACCCCTTCCTTCCTTTGTCCACCAGCATCTGATTGCAGCGAGCTAGTGTCAACATTTCTAATAGGACTTCCATTAAGGTAACTTCCATATTTTCATAGAAGAAGAAAAAAAGCAAAAAAAAACCCCCAACAACAGGATTTACTCTATGGTAAAGAAAGCACAGCATGAACTATAAACTACATTTTCCAGTCTGTCCTTTCCTTGTTCAATTCCAAAATTTTATGCGATAGTAAAACTAATGAGATCAGCATTTTGAACTGCAGGCCCGGCATAAGCTGTCAGTGGTCCTGGAGGTGGTAACTACCTGCAAGGTTGGAGATAATATTTTTTGCTGTATGCAGGGTTTAGCAACTTCACCAAAATGACTTCCTGCCTCCTCTGGGCCAGGCTTCTTGCAGCTAACATGGTGATGGCCTCCAGTTCCCGAAGTAAAACCTGTTAGTGCAGAATCTTCAGGAACGCAAGGCACCCAAAAAGAAGTTACACTGAGCTCCAGGAATTAAACCCATCTGGCTAAAGAAAGTTCTGGAGTATGCAATGTTACAGCCTTCCTCTCCCTTTCTGACCTGGGGACACTCACTTCTCACAAGTTCGACAGGCAACCAGCTGAGTGCTTTTCCTGCACAATCTAATTCTGTTTTCCTCTGTGCACCAGACCCCGGTCCTGGAATATGTACTCTGGCAACTCTGAGTGTGTAACCCACCCGAGAAGTTGAATGCTGTTCTCACCTGAGTGTTACTATGATGGCTGAGGGTTGGGCACATGCTGTGATGAAGGTGACAATGAAGAGAAAAACTAAGAATGGGATGAGGGTATTACAGGCCCGTTTGCACTTCCCAGACACAGCATAGCCATTCTCGTTGAGATATGTTTTGACGATAACCACGCGGAGCTGACTGCGCTGCCCCACCGTGGGCGGAGTGATCACTTGCCGGCTTTGGACACAGGTGCATTCCGTGTAATTCCTTACCTAAGTGACAGAAAATAAAGACCAGTTAGTTGTGTGCTAATCAAAAGCAAAATTCAGCCCGGCAGGCATGGCTCAGTGGTTGAGGGCTGACCTATGAACCAGGAGGTCAAGCTTGGATTCCTGGTCAGGGCACTTTCCAGGGTTGTGGGCTGGATCCCCAGTAGGGGCCATGCAGGAGGCAGCTAGCTGATCAATGACCCTCTCATCACTGATATTTCTATCTCTCTCTCCCTCTCCCTTCCTCTCTCTGAAATCAATAAAAACATTTTTTTTTTAAATGAAAAATTCAGCATAGGAATATTAAGACAAAGTTTATTTCAAGTGTTATCCAATAACTCTAGAAGTTTAAAAAATGCAAAACATTTACTTGGAAATGTCTTCCTCATTGCTAACAATAGGGGTCCAAAGTGTGCATCCAACAATACCATAATCAGCTGGTCAAAATTGTTAAACTTAAACTTGTCTAAGAAGCTTTCAACACTTACCTCTAGAGCATTCATATTTTGTGCTCTCGTTTTTGGTCCTAATTAAATGCAGTTTCTGTTGCTCTATAACTCCTGGGCTCTTCAGTAGGAGAAGCCCTCAGAAACTGGCACCAAGCCTTGTTTTTTTGTTTTGTTTTGTTTGTTTTTAACTTAATTTTTACTGTTGACACTATTTGTGCTCACCACAGCACCTACCATAACCCTGAACTCAGAGGACCTAAATATCTGTTATGCAAACACAGATCATGCATAATGACTTCCATTCCAATAATATTGCACATTGATAGCACTGGCTGTTTCATGTGAAACCAGCTAATTGAAGGGACTACAGAGGTGTTTCAATGAAACGGACAATTAAGCTTCTTGCCTCTTATGTTGCTTTTACTGAATGGACTTCAGTTGAACTCACTGCCACTGTGACCTCTCAGTCACTTAGAGAGGCAGTCGGAACAGATATGAAGATGGGACACTCTGTGGCCACCTCAGCTGAGGACTGCTGACCCCTTAGTAAGAATGAAGGCTGTGCACCACATGACTGGCTCACTCCCAGGGAAGGACTTAGCCACCAGAAGGACAGACCTCAATGTCTCTTTCAACTTGGTCGCACACTGGAACTCACCAATCATATAATGGGGAGCCAGCTAAGGAATTCTCAGTTTATCATTTAAAACTCAAAAGTCAAATATGACATTCCAGAAACATGCAGTCAATGGGATAATCCCTTATCATCAGCCTCCTACAATCCGTTTTTATGCAAAAAATGAAACCAGGCTCAATAAGGAGCTGAGTAAAATATGAAAACCTTTCCCCACAGTATTATAGCCTATTTATAATTCACAGGGAAGGGAATTCTCAAAATAGCCTATTCTTGAACTGACAGAAATATCTTTACTCTGAAAGCTAAAAAAGAAAAAGTCAGAACTGATAATCTATGAAAAATGCCACTGCCCATCCTCACTGACTCTCAGCAGGGGAGGTGCACTCCTATTGTCTTCTATCTTCTATCAGCACCAGTGTGGTCATCTTGACCTTCAAATCCATCACGAGGGCCCTGTAGGAGGAACAAAGGGGAGGCCCAGCACTCAACCTTATCAAGTTTCACTGAGTGGACACTGAATGCAAAGTAGGAGAGGACTGATATGGAAGCAAAGCATTACACCCAGACGTGCCAATCATCCCTGGAAAAAAATAATGGTATTGCATAATTTTCTTTCCTCTGGGTTTGCATCAGAGGTGTCTTATAGGTTATTTGAAGTTTCTTAAAAAGGGAGACAAGTCATGTGTTTGCCTCTGAATTCTAACACGCCCTTGTCACAGGATGCAGGGTTAACAAGAGTACAGGAACTTGTGAAATATACTTACCCCAGTGCTAAGATTACCACTACTAACACAGCCAGCCAGACAGGGGTTAAAGTATGTAATTCCATCTGATCCACAGACTGGCTCGTACTCGTGGGTCTTACAGCCACAGTTGACGTTGCAGCTTCCCGTCAGGTTCCTATGAGGCATGGTGAGAGAGGGTCTAAGAGAGAAAAGAAGCAGATCGTGAGCAACATTTACTAAAATAGAGCTGATAGGGAAGTACTTGATATCGAGTCATTGTCCATTTTAGCGAAGATATTCGCATTGAATCAAAGGTAGGGTTCTGTGAAGTGGCCACTCTTGATAATTATCTTTATAACTTTAAAACAAAATATGAAGGAAAGCATTACAGTCTTCTGGTACCACAGATTCAATACATTTGTATCAAAGTATCCGTCCTGCCTCAGTTCTACCCTCCATCTTGATGCTATGGACCTGGTCTCAACATATGGGCTCAGCAGTTTAAATCTGGGCCTCAATTCCTTTAACTGTAAAATGGAGAAAATACTTTTTTGGGCTAAATCAATAACATCCTTATGAGGGCATAAACATGGAATCCATCAACCACAGTTGTCAACATAGGTTCCTTTGGCCAAAAGCTTTCATTGTTCTAAAATAAATTTATCAAAGAAAGCCATGGGACTCTAGAAAATCAAAGGAAGTGATTTTCAAAGATCAGGAATCACATCACTAGTTTGATTCAAATGATCTGAGAAGAAAGATTAAAAGCCCTTTCCTCAGGAAGGCCCAAATGTAGATTTGGTCAAATGTGGTGGGTTTTGTTTTCTCAGGAGATCATGATGTCTGAGTCAAATAAGTAATACCATATAAAAAGCTCTAAAAAAATCAACTCAGGCAACAAATATACAAGGGAGAATAGGGCAAGTTAGGATATAGGGCCATGGAGAGAAGTGTAAGGAAATAGTTATGGAAGACCAGAAGCAGGCAGGTCCTGCTGGAGACCCGGAGGAACGAAAGGGGCTCGGTAGTGCTCACACCCAATGACCTCTTTCCTTTGCTTTCGTGTCCATCATTTTTGGGTGTCACTGATGAAATACTCGTCCCAAAGCCACATGAGTGAGCAACAGGAGATGCTTCAATCATCTGTCCATCTACTCATCAGCCATCCATTCAACAAACATTTCGGAATGTCTTCTATATGCAATAACCATTATCTTTAATGACTATGCTGAGTAACCACTCAGCCAGTAGCATAGCCCATCCCAACTCTATGTATTAATCTATAAACATAAAGATTTGTTTGTTCAAAGGCTTTTCTCCTGTGGCCTCTTTCATACTATGATAACTGAGTCTTCAAATTTTAATGGAACAAATCTATAGCAATATTTAAACCTTACCAAGAAAGCCTTCAAAAAGGCAAAAGTAAAATAAACCCTGTCCATTGTTAATGTCGCTTCACTGACATTGATAATTATTATGTTCACAAACTCTTATGATCAATTTTAAACAGTTTTAAAGTTTAAATTTTAAATGTGTTTTTAAAAATACGATTTTAGACCAATAGTTCTCTACAGGGACAATTTTGCCACCAGGGGATATTTTTGTTTGTCACAACTGAGGGGGTGCTACTGGCATCTAGTGGGTAGAGGCCAGGGATGCTACTAAATATTCCACAATATACAGAACAGCCCTTCCTCCGCAATGAAGAATTTACTGGCCCAAATGTCAATAGTGCTGAGGCTAGGAAACCCTGTTCTAGACCTGCTACCACATTCTACAGGTGATAAAACGGAGGAGGTCCAGGGAGGCCAAGTGACACAGTGTTATGCTGATTAGTGCTATGTCAACTGGTTCACATGAAAAGTATTCTGTGTGCATTACTATTCTCTTCACTAGTTCCTCCAGAACTAAATTGCAAGCATGATCAAATAAAACAGTTTTTATATGTCTGCATGCTTAGTCACTAAAAATGACAGGCTTCAAACCCATAGAGTGGTTATTACTATTGTTATTTAGAAGTTACAAGGAATTTCTTCTTAGCAGCATGCTTTGTAGTCATTTAGGACAGCTACAGAGTCCAAACACCCCTCCTTTTGAGACATGTCCAATCAAGAGAAAGGAATCTAAAGATAATATCAACAGATGTTCCAAACACACTGATGACAGGAAGGCAGATGTTTTCCTGAGTTGCAGAAGCAGAGGCACAGTCCTGCGTCACCCTTGTGTTTGTTTGCTTTCCTCATGAAATCATGGTGTCTGATACAAAGAAATGATACAATACAAAAAGCCTTAAGAAAATCAAAAAGGGAGACAAATATAAATAGCAGTAAAAAGAAGTGGGCATTCCTGAAAGAGTCGTAAAGGGAAAAGGCTGTATTGGCACAAAAAGGAAAGATGCCAACATGGCTAATCTTCTTCACACTGTGCTGATAAAAAAATAAATCACTTTTAAGAATAATGATTTCTTGTTCGAGCATCATGCACAATCCAGAAAACAGACTGGATTATAATAATGGTGCAAGTGTTTAAATCTGAGTAACGCCAAGCAACATCTCCTTAGCCTGAAGTGAAGCCATCCCGGGGGCATACAATTCACAAGGGCTGCGTATGCTGCACTTATCCTTGTGAAAAGGGACTGCATATCATCTTCCCAATAAATGAGCTCATTTCTGACAAGTCAGCCTTCCAGATAAAAGGCTCATGTTCACTCAGAGTCAATGTAAGGATTAATTCCAAGTGAGGAACCTGGCCTCACAAATAAATGCCTTATAACTGCATAGTTCAAGCTGCAAGTCTGAGAGCCACATGTGGCGTCTTACTATAAAAATCATGGCATTAAACAGTAGATCCAGAGACATAGAAGCATGGAACAGACTGACAAATCTCAGAGGGAAGGCAGGGGTGAGCGAGAAGAAATTAACCAAAGAACTTATATGCATATATGCATAACTCATGGACAAAGACAAAGGCTTGGTGAAGGCCTGGGGTGGGGGGAAAAGGGGGAAATCTGTAATACTTTCAACAAAAAAGATAAATTTTAAAAAGAAAAAAATCTCATGGTATTAAAGAACTAGAGGGATGGGACAGGTCTCTGAGATTATTCAGTACAACTTTTTTAAACAATAGGAAACTACGAATAACTGTAATGACATGCCCCACGATCACTGAGGTTCAAGAAAGCCAGCCATGGGGAGCCGCCAAACAAGAAACAAGACCAAGCTTGTTGCCCAACTTTATTAAATTAATCATTTAAAGGTCAATGCTTATTAAAGTCATATACAATAATAAAACAGGTTGTGGTTTAACGTAAGTAAAAATCTTTGCCATGGGCCCATTACAGCTAGGTATGTAAGGATACAGTCTCTCTCAGGTCACACACACGCAAACACGTTGTGTCACTTAACGCCATCCCAAGACCTAAAGAACACTTGGAATTCCCCATCTGACTTATTTCTACTGTTCCCCATAAATCAAAGAGGAACACCCTAACCTTTCTGCCTCCTCTTAAGTTTCTCCCTATTGAAATGACAACTAGAAACCCATGCATTGCATGCTTAGGCTGCATGGGCTAAAAGAATGATTCACACTGCGGAAATCATTTTAGAAAAATACAATAATCAACTATAAGAAATTGGTAACTTTCTCATCATTTCTGAATCTTTACCAATTTAACTCAGTCTTCAAGAAAACTAAAATGTTTCTTTTCAATTCTACTTAAATTCTTGGCTTCATATTAAAATCCTTCCTTGGCTATATATAGCTATGCAACTTTAGGCTTATATTATCATTATTATCATCATAACCATCATTTTCATTGAAAATTAACATTAACAGAGCCCTATGTTTACTCCAGGAATTGTACAATGAGATCTCTACATAAGTTACCTCGTTTATTCCGCATGGGATTATAATGACTATTACTGAGCCTTTATCTTTCAGGTGAGGACATTGAAAATTTGAGAAGACAGGTGCGTCAAAGTGCACACAGCTAGTGAGAGTCAGAGATGTGCTTCAACCCAGTTAGATCTGTCTCCACAGTGTGTACCCTTAACAGCCTACACTAGCAGGGAAGCTCTGTGCACGTGTCCAAGGTTTCGCTTTCTCTAGTATGAGTCTTCAGGGTGGCTCCTCCTGACACCTTCTTTCTGAGAAAGCTCTCATGTAGCTTTTCTGTCGCTCAGCTTCAGTGTGCTTGAGAGTTAGAGTCGGAAAGAGCTGGGCTCCGTTCCATATCTACAATTTACATTTGTAAAGTAGAGATCATAACCTCTATATCCCATGGTCAGCTGGAGGATTAGATGAGTTAGTGTATGTCCAGCATCCAACATGGTGCCTGGCACGTAATAGGCACTAAGATATTCATGTGCTTTCTTTATCTACATATGGCAGGAGCATTAACAAAAAACATCGCACTCACAAATGTGAAAATGCAAAAGGTCTTCATAATTTTTTTTTCCAAAAAGAAAGAAGTAATTTTCTAATTTACTCCTACAGAGAATGTTGGCGGGGGTGGGGGGGACAACTAGATTGGTATCTAGTTTCAGGCCACCCATTTAGTCACTATATGACTTTGGGTAAAGTCTTTAAGTCCATGGGTCTGAACACCTCTCCTGCCTACATGAGAGGGGAGGAAGGATAACCAACAGAGGGGTGTATGATAATATATGTAACAGTGTAGGCTAAAGGACTAGAGGACTATATTCATGAAAGCTGTGATTACTGTATCCAATCATTATTTTTGTCGTTGAAGTTTCCTTTATCTTTATAGCCAACAAATTCAAACCAGTGAAATTTACATATGATAACCTACACCTGATACACATCATCTCTTTAAATCCAGAATAATTTTATATAAAATGATGCGTCTTTTATATGGCGTCTTTAAAATACTTTTATTATTAAAGTAATACATATTCATTTTGTGATGGAACCCACATCCTGATTGGAGAAAGGGTCCCATTATTTTCCACACAAAGGTAACTGCTACTCAAAAAGTGGTACACCCGTGTGACTGAACCTCCCCAAAGTGTTCATACAAATTCCATTTTAGACTGTTTTCCTAGAAGCATTTGGAGAACCAAAGGAATTCCCCAAAGATCCCAGGGTTTTGCTTCACATATTTATAAATCTCACTGAATTCAGGCTTCAAATACTACAATGACTGGATCCTTGCAGCAGCCTCCAGACTCCTAACCAAGTTTTTCTCTGTTGAATAGAATTAAAGGAGGAGTGTACCAGAACTCATGGATTTAGATAATTCAGGTGTTTATTTACATCGAGTTCTTACTAGCTTCAGTATCATTATGGATAACATCCCTGAGCAGAGATAGATGCCAGGTATTCATTCATCTTTCAAAGAAGAGGAGTGACTTTGTATGATCTAGAAGGGAAGGGAGTAGAGACCAAAAAAAAAATCCTAGCTTTTTTTCAGCATATACTAAGCGCTAGACCTTGTGCTAGGAAATATCAGAACCCTCCCTGTATGTAATCCTCAAAATCAAAGCTGTAAACATTTGTTTAAAATACTGAATGCTTCAAACTGGAGGATGGGGGGAGGAGAAATAGACTTTTTCTTTTCTACCCTCTACAGTATTTTAATTTTTCAACCATATGTGTTTTACTTCAATTGCATTTATAACCTGGTGTGATTCACATTATCACCAATTTTACACATAAGGAAACCAACAGTCAACAATATTAGGTAATTTTTTTTGCAAGGTCATATAGTTAGAAAATGACGGCACTAGGACTTGCCTTTGAAAATAATGCAGTTTTTTACAAAAAAGTTCGAGGGGAGAAGGGAAAGAAGTTCAAGGAGTTTATATTTAGGGCCTCTGTTTACTCAAAAATGCAGAACCCTAGGTTGTCTAATAAAGAAAACAAGATTAGGGTAAGATAAAACACTTGAAGAAAAAAGATTGTTTAATGGAAAAACCATCATGGGGCTTAGGAAAGAAAGCTGACTAGAGCCAAGGAAATGGATTGCTCAGAAAAGATGAGGAGCTGCTAAGGTTGGAACTCATAAATTTGTAATGGAGTCAATCAGCACAATTATATAATTTTTGCCCAGATGTGCTGGGGAGTCCAGATTTGGTTGATTCAGGATTGGCAAGAGAGATGTGGTGTTAAGCAAGGGTTTTAGAAGGCTTGAGGTTTTAGAAGGCTTGCATTTTAAAAGTAAGTAAGACACCCACCCAGTCAGTCTGCTTTCCATTCCTTCTGAAGATGCATTTAAAATAAAAGTAAGATTAAAAGGAATAAGCTAGCAAAGAGAAATGGAAAGAGCGACACCAAGCTTCATGAAAAGAGCAAGTGGACAGGCAGAGGTTTATGTGAAATGAGTAGATGCCACCTTGGAGAGGAGCCAGCCCACCCCATGGAACCTCCACAAGGCTCCAAGCTCAAATTCAGCAGATATAACAAGGGAGCAAAAGGGAATATGTAGCTAAAAACCATGGAACTCATTGGAGATCTGAGGGAGAAAAAAAACTGTATTACTGGGGGCTTCCATTCTCTTCTACTCACCCACTTCCAACCCAACTGAGAACCCAGAAATTCACCAGAAAGCTCTTCTCTAAAGAAATGGAAAGAAAAATTTTAAACTAAGCTTCTATTTTAGATGTGAACAACTCTGAATAAATTTTTCTTCAGTCTTGTTCTTGAGGGAGGGGGAAACATAACCATCACGATGATGATGACATGAATGGCTCTCCTAAGATACTTACCCTGTTGTGTAAGGGATGTTTATGCCTCCTAGATTAATACTTTCACATCCCACAATGAACAGGGTTGAAAAACACAGTAAAGACACCCCACTGCAGATCATTGCAAGTTTTGCAGATTCTCTTGCACCAAGTTTCAATTTTTTTATAATGTAGCCTCCAAGGACAATGCCAACACCGGCACTGGGGACAATAATAACACCTGGAGAGAAGGGAAGGACAGAATTAATTTGAAGTAATGTATACTATTATTTGTTTTCTTTATTTTTCTCTTTTTTAAAATTTTTTCCCATCACCATTTACCCTCCCTATACCCTCCTCCACGTCTACCCACCCCCCTACTCCCCTCAACCTATTTGTTTTCTAATTACTGTTTCTATTTACTTATTAGTACTAAAGTAAAGAATAAAAATACTGTAATCAAAGTGGCAGTTATAAAAATAGTTAACAGGGATACAGCATAGAGAATATAGTCAATAATATTGTAATAACGATGCATGGTGTTAGGTGGATAGTAGACTTATCAGGGTGATCATTTCATAAGTTATATAAATGTCTAATCATTGTGTTGTACACCTGAAACTAATATAATATTGTATGCCAACTGTAATGAAAATTTTTTTTTAATTATTTTAAAAGAAAAAAAATTTAATACTGTAATTAATAATTTTCAATGTGTGTATTTTATAGTATACTTTATTTTCAACACATACAACCAACAAAGGGTTTATTTTCAGAATATAAAAAAAACACAACTTTTATAAAGCAATAAAATAAAGACAAGCAACCCATTAGAAAAGTAAGAAAAACTTTAATGGGCCCTTCACTAAAGAGGAAATCCAGCTAACCAATAAACACATGAAGGTAAGAGGGAAATACAAATTTAAACCATAATGAAATACTAATCCACACAAAAATGCCGGTACAAATTTTAAAGTCTGACAACACCACAAGCAGGCAAAGATATGGAGCAATGGTCTCTCTGGTGAGTTGTAAACTGTGACACTGACTTTGAAAAACAGTTTGGCATTTATCTGGTAGAGTTGAGGATATGCACACCCTGTGTCAGGCAATTCCATTCCTGGGTCTATACCCCGAAGAAACTTATGCACATGGGGACCAAAAGAAGTGTACAAGATATTTGAAGAAACATAAAAGCCAAAAACTGGAAATAAACCAAATATCCATTAATAGATACATAGCATGTAGTAAATTCATACAATGGAATGTCACACCCCAGCAGTAAAAGTCAGAAGCCCAACTGCACATAACTGTGTGGGTGAACCATACAAACACCGTGTTGAACGAAAGAAGCAAAAACACAACAGAACATATGTGATGCGTGTGTATAAAGTTCAAGAACAGGTAAAATGAAATGATATTGTTTAGAAATGCATATACTGGTAGTACAACTATGAAGAAAACCCAGGAAGGAATTGCCATAAAAGTCAAGATAGTGGGGGGATGGGGGGGATGCAGAGAAGGCACAGGGGGCTCCTGGAGTACTGAAAATACTCCATTCCATGACCTGAGTAATAGGTACACATGTGTTCAATTCATAATTATTCATTATCTCTAAACTTTGTTTAATGCACTTCTCAGTGCATTATATTTCACAGTGAAAGCATTTTTAAATAGTCATAATGCCTGCCCCAAGAACCTCACAATCTAAAAAAGAACCAAACAAAAAAATTCAGAGCACAGTAAAGGAATTATTTAAAGGGCAAGGAGAACAAAGGGGAGGAACCATTTGAGTTTTCCCTGGGAGAAATCAGGGAGAGCTTCAGAGAAGTGGCAGTATTTGAGCTGACATTAGACAGATGAGACAGCATCTTTGGGATTTAAAAGATGAAACAGAATCTGTCCAATGCACCAGCACAGAAAGGGCATCCTACACAAATAAACATGTGCAGAAGCATGAGATAGAATTGAGAGCAGTTCAAACAAGCTGGGAGTGGAATGAATGCAAGCTGCCAGAACGTGGTGGGACATGGGGAAGAGGGGCAAGGAAGTGCAAGACCATGAGAGACCATGAACAAGTCAGGCTGCATCTCCGGGCAAAGACACACCACTGAAGAATTCTGAGCCGGGGTCTTGCAAGGTGGGCACCCTGTGATACAAAGATCATTTCTGGCCCTGAGATGGAAGATGGCCAAGATAGAGCCAAAATTAGAGTCAGAGAAGCGGTCAGGAGGGTAACTGCGAAGGTCCAGGAGGGCTATGGTCAGGCTCCACACGGAAGACAAATTAGCAGAGGAAGACAGCGACGGAGAATGAACCATTGCACAACCTGTGCAACAAACAGCTAGAAGTGCCTCCAGAGCTCAGGAAGAGCTGGGCTGGGCATTTATAACCTGCAGCGGAATTCATGGCACAGGTAGGATGTTCCAACAAGACTGAACAAAGAACAGTGAAGGGCCAAGGCCAGAGTCCTGGAGGGCACCAGTGTCAATGAGGATCGTAAAAAGATGAGCCCACAGAGGAAACTGAAAATGAGCAGCCATAGAGGGAAGAGGAAATCTAGGAAGATAAATGTCTTAAACGGGGAAGCTTGGGCTTTGGATTCAGAAAGACCGGAATTCAAATCCTCACTGCATCTTCCATAGCTATGTGATCACACATAAGCATAAGCTTCCTCAACGCTCTAAACCAGATTTCTTCCCTTTATCATGGAGCTCTACCTTTCTGGTTAAAATGAAGGTTACTGACACTCTATGTAGCCATAGTACACTGTATTTTGTACACAATATAAACTGCAGTTATTACCATTACAAGTGTGCCATAGAAACCAAGGAAAGGGCTTCAGGGAGAAAATGAAGTGTCAAATGCCTCGGAGAAGTCCAGCAGGATAAAGGCTGAAATGAGACAACCACGTCACTGGAGATCTCAGCAAGAACAATTTTCAGGGCATCGTGGAGGCAGAAGCCAGACTGCAGTGGGCTGAGTAGTCAGCCATGAGGGTTTGGAGACTGGAATGGGCACTGCCTTCCAGAACTGTGGCTGTAAGAAGGGGGGCTATAGGTCCATAGGTTGAGTCGGGGCTTTCTGAGTCTTGTTTGGTGCTAAGACATGAGAGGGCTGAAGCATATTTATATTGAGTGCTGACAAAAATAGACCGAAAAGGGGTACGAGGTAGAACGTAGAAGGAAAAGGTTACTTCATGACAATGCAAGATCCTTTTTTTTTTTAACGAAGTTGAATGTTTTATTATTAAACTTTCTTGTTTTCCTGCAAGGCTGCTACTTCACTGTATAAAAATAGCACCCGCAAACTCAGCATATTGCTAAATTTAGATAGTATTGCTTGTCATCTAACACTGTTAACAACTAACAAAACCTTTTCCCCACTGCCAGTTATTTCCAATGGAAACATCATTAAGTATTTTGACCTAAATCCAGAGACTGATGTAAGCAAGTTATAGTGTTATATAAGGCTTAAGATAACAATGTTATCCTTGAAATACATAATTTTATAACAAGATTTTACCAGGGATGATTTCAGGAATTCTGAATATTAGAACTGTAGCCTAGCCTAAAAATCACAGGGTGGTGTGAAAAAGATGCATATTGTGTTTATCTGCAGTTATTAGAAGGTTAAGGGGTATTTTCTTCCTACAGCATAGTTATAGTTTCTTTTTCCACAGGTTTACTAAAAGTTGCTATTTTAAATCTTCTGTCCACCACTAATTTAAAACAACTATGCTAGATCAAGTTGTTTCATACTTTGTTTAGAGGGTTCCGTTTCCACTCCTCAGTAGAGTTTATGTATTTTTCAGGCGTCTTCTCTCTTTGGTTCTCTAGTTCTTCAGGGTTACTCGGTGTCATCTTGACCAGCCAACCATCTTCATAGCAAGATTTGTTGACAAGTCCTGACTTTCTGCAAGAGCTTCAGTCATTTCAGTTACTTCTCTGGACAGAGGAGACTAGAGTTCACCAGCAGCTTTCACACTTTCCAAAGCACCAAACTCCTCTTGTTTGTTCAATTTTGTCCCAATTTCAGGAGACTATAGTAAACCACACACATCCCCCAAGCTTCCTGCGCAAAACTGCTGATTCCCACTGTTCCAATACCATTTTCTGTTGTTATCCATGCATGTTTCTCTGTGAATTTATGCAAGGAGAGCAGATTGGGGTCAAGCGTAGAATCTGGAGGCCATTTGCCCTCAAACCTGCAGGATCCGCACTGAGAACCCTGTTCGAGGGGCGGGGGG